TTGTGGGACTTTTTTCAACCAATGCAGAACAATGCTAGGTCTTGGGAATGAGTGTCAGTAGTGATTGTGTTGTGGGATGTTCAGGTGATGTCGAGGGAGTTGGAGAATTGTATATTATTGTCTGAAAGCACCCAGAACTGCAATATAACTTTGAATTGAAATCAATAAGCCATAGAAATTTTAGAGGAATGAACTCTCCTATGTAGGATCCTGAACTACCTTGGTTGTGCTTGAATGGACAAAGCTCTTCAGATACTAGTATATCACCTGTACTTTCCATTACCTTCTGGGAAAGGGCTCTCCATGGTGCAAGGCCAGCCCAGGCTCGTTGATGTAGGACCTGACATGTCACCTCCCCTTTTCTTTCTGGAGTAAGATTCTTTTTAGTGCTATGTCAACTAACATCTTTGTAATGTGTTTACTGTGAATTTTCACTCTGCTTTTTCTTTTATGTCAAGGACTTCACAGAGGCCTTTTCAGACTCGAATATCCATTCAGTTGAGTGTGTGAAAATAGGGTGATCGACATAACAATTGTCTACTTCCATCTCCATGTTTTGCTTTTAGTATAAATACATCTTATAGACTTATCTATTATATTTAGTGTTTAAACTTCGTTAAAACTTCCATTTCTCAAACTTGCATATTCTCAGAGCATGTGTCTGTCACTCAAGTATCAGATCCAGAGAGCACATTCTTGCTCTGACCCCATAGTTCACATGGACCACACATCGGTATTTTGTCCACTTCATCAAACTTTGTGGAGAAAAAAAATTGCTAGTTCCATTAACTGCCTCTAAGCAGAGCGGTTGAAGTCTTTTTAAATCCAATCCTAGATTTTTGTTACTTTTACTTGCCAGGGTTTGCCCTGTGACCCAGCAGGAGATCTTTTTCAAATCAAAGCACTTAACCTTCCGCAGGGTCAATACTATCCTGAAAGAGACTAAATATAGTTACCAAAGGGCAGCCCTACTCAGCACCGATTTGTGAGGTAATGATGCCTATCTTCAACTCAGAGCATACATACTTGAGGCATGTGGAACGTGAGGCAGAACACGGTGCATTAGGGACCCAAGATACTTCAAGTGTGTAGACAGGATTATGCAAAATAAATAAATAAAGTATTAAATAAATAAATAAATAAATAAATGCAACAATGGCCCTAGGGTCAGAATGTATTCTTTAATAAATTGCTGGCACTGCACCTTTGATCTCTGATCTTCCTTGGAGACAACAAGTTTTGGATATTGAAAGGTATTATTTGAGTTCTCTGATATTTCATTGGGATTACGCAGAGAAATTCTGAAATCACAGTCAGCTAGAGTGACAGGAAATAAGGAGCAATATTGGGGGATGTATCAAAGGGGGAAAAAGAATCAGACACAGCTATTTTGGGATCTGGGACCCATAACTTTAGGTCGGAGATACCTCAGCTTATCCTCATCCCTTTGTTTCCACCTAATACAGAAGGAAGGGATTCTCTTTGTCTTAGTTACTTTTATATCATTATGATTAAGACAGTTCATAAAAGAAGATATTTAATTGGCTTGCAGTTTCAGAAGGTTAGAGTCCATGATGGGAGAGGAAAGGCATAGCAATAGTAGCAGCTAAGAACTCACAAACTCATTCACAAATTAGGAAGCAAATGGCAAGAGTAACACTGGGGATGGTGAGAGTCTTTGGAAACCTAAAAGCCTACAGGAACCAACACACCTCCTCCAACAAGGCCACACTTCCTAATCACTTTGCAAACAGTTCCACCAACTGGGAACAGAGTATTAAAATATGAGAGCTTATGAGGATCATTCTCATTCAAACCACCACACTACTATTCCAGAGTCTATGTTGTGGGTCTTCCTAATGTATCTTCTCCCCAAATCAAGAGAGAATAAAGAGCACTCAGCAATACAGTGGTTCCTATGTCGAAAAAGCACCAATGTCGAAAAAGCATCCTATAGTGCACTTCAATAGACATCCCACAACTATCCCCTTTGCTGATAACTCTTCTTTGTTGATATTCCTGCTAATACCGTCAAGATGAGGCAGAATAGATAAGTAGATAAGCCACTTCCAGGAGAACTTTCTTGCTACTTGGGAAAGAAACAGGGATAGTCAGGAGACCTCAAGTGAACAGGGCTTGACATGAGTCAGAGAATATCTACTTCAGAGCAACAGCACTGCCTTTTCCATCATGTCCTGATCTGAGCAGTGTAGCTACATAAAGAATAATAAAAGATTTACTTAATGTATGATAAGGCCTCTCTTGGGTATATTCCCAAGAGTGGTATTGCTGGGTCCAAGGGTAGGCTGTTCCCGAATTTCCTAAGAAACCTCCACACTGCTTTCCAAAGTGGTTGCACGAGTTTGCATTCCCACCAGCAATGGATGAGTGTACCCCTTTCTCCACAACCTCTCCAGCAAAGGCTATCATTGGTGTTTTTTATTTTCGCCATTCTGACAGGTGTAAGATGGTATCTTAAAGTTGTCTTGATTTGATAAAAGCCCGGGATAAAACCAGTCTCGCTGAACATAGTGGACAAGGAGGACTACTGAGAACTCAAGAACAATGGCAATGGGTTTTTGATCTTACTGCACGTATTGGCTTTGTGGGAGCCTAGGCAGTTTCGTTGCTCACCTTACTAGACCTGGATGGAGGTGGGTAGTCCTTGGACTTCTCACAGGGCAGGGAACCCTGATTGCTCTTTGGGCTGACGAGGGAGGGGGACTTGATTGGGGAAGGGGGAGGGAAATTGGAGGCGGTGGTGGGGAAGAGACAGAAATCTTTAATAAATGAATAAAAAATAGCACAAAAGACTTACTTATTACACTAGAAGTAGAAGCTGTTCTCATGTCTCTGAATTTGAAGGATATGGGGTAAAGATGAAATATTCCACCATGTTTTTATCACTCCCTTTTCCATGTTTTATCCATTTACTTGTTAGTACTATAGAGGATGAGGATTGAGCCCTGGATTCTTGCACTTTCTCTGTGTTCTGGTTTCCAAAGGGGCAAAGGATGTCCCAGAGAAGCCAACCACAGTGTAAATTCTGGGAACACTGATATGCATGCCTATTTTTGAACAATCATCATTTCCTGCTCATAGGAAAATCGAGACAGATTTTACTTGTCCCACAACCAATAACTCCCCTATAATTCTCAGAGCATATTTAATGTTCCTGTGGAAATGTGGGGGTAATACACAGGTATTTATGTACTTTATGCTTATGTAAACAAGGCACACAGTTAAACTGGATATACTCCATAATCATATGAGAGCATTTGCAGGCTGGTGGTACTTGACATCTATGGACCACCTCCCTTTGATCCTTAATGTTTTCAGAGTGAAATTTCGTAGTCCAACTATTGCCTGGGATACAACATCTTCCATTTAATATAGGATAGTAGGGTCAGTATCATCTACATTGATTACATTCCTGATATTAAAAATGCTCCCCCACAGTGCATTCTTTCCAAGTAATTTTCAATGTAGGATGTGTTATAGCTGCTCTATTATCAGAACATCCACTGAATTTTCAGTCTGGCTCCAAGTTCTCTTCATGGCTATCTGTCAATCCCCTCAAACCAACAAAGTCTCCATGAAAACATCTAGTAGTAGAGAGCCAAGTAACCTTAATAAAAGTGAAGAGAAATTTCTGGCTGTTTCTAAAGAAATAAGTCAAGGGACTGGATGCTGAGATAAGACTTAATAGCATTTTAACCTTTGCTCTAATAAAGATTCAGGTGTTCTGCCTCATCTTGATGATATTAGCAGGGCTCTCAACAAAGGAGAATTACCAGCAGAGGGGATAGTTGTGGGATGTCGATAGAAGTGCACTATAGGATGCTTTTTCAACATTGGTGCTCTTTAGGAACCACTGTATTGCTGAGTGCTCTTTAGTCTGTCTCGGTCCTTCAGGTGTTATTTATGGCTTATTCTTTAGTTTACTCAAACAGCTTACATTGAACAAAAACATCCCTTAATATAGTCTTTTTAGGTGTTTTTAAAATTTAGACTATATTTTTTATTGAAATTAGGGTTTTTTTCAATGCAATATATTCTGATCATGGTTTCTCTTTCCACATCTCCCAGCTTCTCCCACCCCCACCCCCATGAAATGCACACCCTTTTTTTTCTTTTTCTCATTAAAAAAACAAAGAGGCATCTAAAGTAATAATAGTAGTAAAATAAATACAATAAAATAAAAACAAACAAACCAAACAAAAAAGACAAAACTAATGGGATAAAAAGAGTCATAGGAAAAGCATAAGAAGCAAGAAGCACATATTCACACACACACATACATACACACACACACACACACACAAATTTCATAAAAACACAAAACTGGAAACCATCGTATAATAGCCAAAACATAAAAAGATTTTAAAAAATGATGCCCAGACAAAGAATTAAGAGAAAAATTCCCTCCCTCAAATACCCTGAGCATGAAAGAGAGTTTATCTTTTTCTTTTAAAACATGCAAAATCTCTTTCAATAGGATTGTGACTCAGTTACTTATTCCTTTCTATGCGTAACTCCGAGTCTGTTTTAGGTAGACTGTTCACCTATATAAGGATATCAGGTATGAAAACTCTATCAGCCCACGATGATTCTCCTCCTGTGCTACAGTCCAGTTGTCCTAAGGAACATCACATAAGTACCAGAAAGTGCTACATAAGACAGAACTGCTGAAACAAAAAAAGTCATTAAAATTGAAAATCACCATAAAGAGATATTTCTGATAACTTCAAATAAATTAAGACTACCTAATGAAAGTAAATATAACATAAAGCCAATTATACTTTGAGACACAGTCAAAATTCCTAAAGAATATTAAATTGAGTTACAGCTGATAAGTAAAAAGAACAAACACGAAAGAAAATTGCATAAATTTTAATTTGTAAACTAAATAACACAGTGTATATTTAGAGTGGCAATAAGAAGAGTAAAAACACAGGTATGAAAATAATTATCACTGGGATGGCAGAATTGTGGTGATTATAGTTCCTCTTCATTATTTTATGACTTTCTTGAAATGTTTTACAAAGCTGTAGTAATTATATAACATGTAAAAATACACTCTGAAGAAACTTTGGGCGGTATGTATTTTAATGATATTTTATTGACAACGTTGATTATTTGGGAGTGATAGTGGTATCTATGACTTGTATTTTTATATTTATAATATTTATTATAACTTTATTGTAAGAGTGGCATTCAATATTATTTTAAAATAAATTAAAGTAATTTAAATAATATGGTACATTGCATCAATTACACAAAACCCTAGAGACAAGACTCCATGTCTCACAAGCCCACATGTGATGATGTGGTGTTGACATCACCATCCAGGCCCAGACATAAGTTTAGAGTTTACTGAGATTCACCTTCTGAGCAAGTAGGTAGATTCAAATCGCTAGCTATTGCACTGCTCCGGAGCCTTACAACTTTCTCTTCAAATCGATCCTGATGGAAACAGTGAGAACATGACTGTGTGGCTGACTGAGGACTACATGCATAGAGATGTGTGCTTTGCATGCCATGTGCTTTTGGTGTTCATACCTGAAGGTTGACTTCTGGATAACACATGCTGCCCAAGGACTGCCATTCACATGTCGCTGATCCATGCTGTCCATCTGACAGAATTATTCATTCTGTTGGAAATTTGGAACATTCCCCTTATCTAAGAAGATCTGGAATGGACGTACAAGACGTGTGGATTTAATATCCAACCATTTATCCGGGCCTGGTTGGTGATGTCATCATCACAAGTGAACTTGTGAGACATGGGGTCTTGTCTCTGGAATTTTGAGTTTGTGTAATTGGTACAATATACCATATTATTTAACCATCACTGAAGTTGGGAATATCACATACTTGCCATATTCCTATGTATCTTTCTATTGAACAATGATTTTTTTTGTTAGTTTTTAATTAAAAATATTTTATGTTTATGGTTATTTTGCCTGCATATATGTCTGTGTACCACATGCATTCCCGGTGCCATGGAGGCCACAATAGGGCATTAAATCCTTTGTAATTACATCTACAGACAGTCATGAGTCCCCATGTGGATGCTGGAAATCAAATCTGAGTTCAGAGACAGTTTCTCATTGCGTATGTTAGCTATCATGCCACACAACATGACAACCTTTCATTTGTCCTCCTCCTATACAAGCATCTGTAATGCAGAGAGATTTCACCTAAGAACTCCGCCTGAAGTTTCTACAATTACTACGAAGGCTTACTTCTTCAGCCATATCACCTGATTTGAATCAGGTTGCAGCTACAATTTACGCGACTGCAGCACCCGTAGCAATTCAAACGTTCTCCTAATTAAAGTCACACACACATGTGTTCCTCTTGCTTCAAATACACATAGACAGAAACAGAAGTGGCCAAGTTCTGGAGAAAACCATGCTTGATGTGGTCTGCTGTCAGCTGGTGAATTTTATTTTCAGAAGTGGTGTGAGTTTCATTCTGTGAAGAAAACATGAAACCAGAAAATTAAACTTTCTGAAGCTCTGTATTTGTTAGAAAACAAATGGTAACCCACCACACACCAATGAATCTGTCATCTACCTGCAAGAGGACAAACTCATGTAAAGGCTTAACATGTGAATAGGTATTATGTTTTTTTTTTCTTTTTCTTTTTTTATTTTATTTTATTTTATTTTATTTTTTAAGTTTTTTTTATTGAGAATAAGAAAAAAAAAAGTTTCCTCCTC